TGAGAACTTTTTTAGCCATAGTTTTAACCAAAATCCTTGCTTTAACAATTGGGTGTGTGTGAGTGTTGGTCAAGGCTTGTATTAGTTTCCTATTGCCACTGTAACAAATTACCACAAAATTAAAGACTTCAAACAAGACAAATTTGTCATCTTACAGTTAAGGAGTTCAGAAGTCTCAAATGAGTCTCACTGAGCAAAAATCAAGGTGTCAGCAGCGCTGAGTTGCTTCCAGAGACTCTAAGGAAAAATCCATTGCCTTGCTTTTTCCAGTTTCTGGCAGGCGCTCGCATACCTTGGCTAGTGGTTCCCTTATTCACCTTCAAAGCCTGCAATGTTGCGCCTCTCTGTGCCTGTCTTCTATAGTTATAGCTTCCTGTAACTCTGACCTCCCTTTCTGTCCCCTTTTGCACTTTTAAGGACCCTTGTAACAATACTGGGTCTTCATTCTCCAATCAGAAGCTGATTGATGATGCTACTGTCATCTGCAACCCTTAATTCTTTTTTTGGCATGCAAAATAACATATTGATAGGTTCTGAGGATGGGCATTTGTGGGGAATGGATAACTGTATTAGGATTTTTGAACCCAAAGGAAATCTGAGGAACATTAGGTACAGCACTGCTGTATCTGGTACAAAATTCAGTCTGTTTCTTTCCATATCCATTATGCGATTATAAAATATTGCCAGGAGTACAAATAAATGTTTCCTCTTTGTTTAGATTCAATCATAGATATAAAGATATAATCTCAATGGTCACATATTGGATCTCTTTTGCTTCCATCCATTTATCACCTGAACTATTTATTGTCAATTGTGTTCTTAAGGGGTTCACGATCTATCTTCAGAGTAGTAGATTCCCCAACTTCATTCTATCGCCTGTTCAAATGTTTTACTATTGTAGGAAAATTATCTTAGTCTCTATGGAGATGGAACTGAAGACTAGATAGTAAATGAAATCCTGTTAACCATTGGAAAACCATGATTAGGTTACCAAGGACATTTCCTACAAGGTAAATAATCCATATTCCATCCTAGGTACTACATGTGTAATTCTTTTGACTGTTTTCCTTGGGAAACTTGTCAGTTATCTTTCTCCATTCTAAAAAAAACGCATTCCTCAAGTGCACATAAAATACCATGAGGAACAATTTTCCTCTCCTTCTTTGGATATTTCTGAGTGGGCCCACTGTCTCTTGCTTTTCTCACTGTTATTAGCCTTACAAAAAAACCAATAACATATATTTTAGCATTTTCATTGAGGCCATTTTATACTCAGAATGCTTGAGAAAGTTTTGATCAAGAACATAATTTTAGAAATAGTAAACCAACCACCATAGGTAAACAATAGGAATAAAGTTTTCATCACTGGTGTCCGTACTAGAAAGTCTTTGCTTATATTTGTGTTTTAGTTGTCCATTCAGTTACCCCCAGATATGTTAGAAACTGAGTCATTGAGAGTGTTTAATGAGAACAAAGAGGAAGATTTTAGAGTCTTTAACACTGGAGGTATTGAAAAGGAAATGATATAACACATCTTATGTATAAAGTGAGGTTGATAAAAATGGTACAGTCACTGTGAAAACCAGTTTGGTAGTTACTCAAGATGTTAAAAATAATTAGCATATGACCCAGTAATTGTACCTCTAGGTATATAACTCCCCAAATTGGAAAAAAGTAACTGAAAAAAATACTTGTACACAAATGTTTATAGCAGTGCTATTCAAAATAACTAAAAGGTGGAAACAACTCAAATGTCCATCAGCTGATGAATGAACAAACAAGCAATGTATATCTATACAATGGACCATTATTCAGCCATAAAAAGGAATAAAGTACTCGTACATGCTATGACATGAATATGCGTTGAAAACATTATGCCAAGTGAAAGAAGTCAAACACAAAAGACCACATATTGTGAAATTCTATTTGCTTGAAATATCCAGAACATGTGAATACACACAGACAAAAAAGAGTGGCTGCAAGGGCCAGAGGGGAGGGAGGAAGCAGAGGTGACTGCTAAAGTGTATGGGGTTACTCAGTAGGGTGATGATGGACATTTTCTAGAATTAGATATTGGTGATGGTTGTGCAACATTATGAAAATATTAAAACTGCTGAATTGTATACTTTAAATGGGTGAACTTTATGGTATGTGAATTATATATCAATAAAGCTGTTATTTAAATAAAAATGAGGTCGAGCTGCATTTATGTGAACCCTAGCAATAAATGATTACTAGATACTGTACTGGTCAGTTCTTCATGAGAGTACCGAGTAAATGTCTAAGTGTCACAAGTTAAAGAAAAAAGCAAAAAACAAAAACAAAACCCAAACTCAGTAGAGGTCTGAGAAGGATCATAAAGAATTGGAAAATAATAACCTATAGAGAAAAGTTAGAGGAATTTTGGATTATTCTGCCTAGTGAAGCAAATGCTATAAGACAATATCCTGGCAAGGAGAATTTGAGGCTTAGAATATGATTTGGTCAGGGTCCTAGCTGTCATAAGTGTTCACTGCAGTGTTTGAATGAAGGCATGGGCAGAGTTTAGGGAATCAACAAGGGATGGAGACCCACCAGGGACTGGGCTTGCAGGGACAAAGGGAAGGAATTGATACAGAAGACCAGAGAGAGTTTGGGGATTTGGAGGAGGGGCTACTTGGCAGGAGCTGCTATCTTCTAACATAGTAACTGCTAGAATTGCAGTAAAGCAAGGAGGGGGATAAATGCCCTGGCCTCACTCTCCTTCCACTTTGCAGTCTCCAGATGGTGGTATTCACCGACCAAATCACATGAGAAGCCAGAAGAAAAAGGCATCCAGGCTAAACAGTCCATAGGAGCCAGCCTCTCAGAGCACAGAGATGGGCAGAGAAGAGGTGTGTGTGTGTGTGTGTGTGTGTGTGTGTGTGTGTGAGAGAGAGAGAGAGAGAGAGAGAGAGAGAGAGAGAGAGAGAGAGAGAGAGAGAGAGAGAGAGAGAGAGATTGAGAATGATGGCAGGGAGGGCAACTCAGGGTGTCTGCCTGTTCTACCTACAATCCCCTTCTCAGAGAAGCTGAGGCAACAAACACCTACATAGTCTCCATGCTTCCAATACTCTGGCCACAGCAAAACTGAAAACAAACAACACCAGCAACTGACATTTGTTGAGTGCTTCAATGTGTCAAGCACTTTACATTACTCACTTCATTTAACTGTCATATCATAACAAACCCATGAGTAACATAATCTTTATGATACTCATTTTATAGATGGAGAATCCGTAGCACTTGAAGATTAAGTAATTTATCCAATGTCACACAGCTAGTAAGTAGAGAAGGAGTGATTTGAACCAAGGGAGAGTATCTGACTCCAGTGTTGTTCCCATAAACACCAAACACACTGGGATATAGATTGAGTAGGACTCTCCTGGCCAGCAACTTTGGTGGTGGCCTAATGGTAGAGTTCTATACTGTGCAGTGACTAGTTGACACAATATGATTAATATGATATTCTAAGAGGAAGTGGAATGTAAGATGATGAGTGGGTTAGCATACTGTAGGATGTGAAGTGCTGAGAGAAAAGGAGGGTAATTAATATGGCAGGAGCAGAGATGAGCTGAGTCACCACTGTGGAAAGCAGTGGACTCTTATTGCAGAAGAAAGAACTAGAGCTGTTTTGAGATGACAGAGCAGATACTGGCTTTCAACTACTGTGTATCTTGAACAAGGCTATAGGTCTGTGAGACCTGACAGTGAGGTTTCTGATGCCTTTCTTGTTCTTTCTTACTTTACAATAACTTCCTATTAACTGAGGAACTATGACCCTGTCCGTTTCTTGCATTACTACAGAGTCCAACACAGATGAGTTAATTATTTAAATATATAAGGTACTCTTGGGCAAAGAAGGGTCTCCAGTCTTTCTTCCCCCCTCTCTATTTTTCTCTGGAAAGAAAGAGAAAATGACCCAATGTAGTCTAAGAAACATAGGCCAACTATATGGGAGTTGTGCCACGACAGACACTTCCAAAGGAAAATGTGTAAATCTCTCCTCTGGAGAGCTTTAAGATAATCTTCTCATCTGTCCCAGGGTGGTTTCCATGAGATACTGCCTGAAGGCACAAGGATCAGTGGCTTCTAACTGTACCAAGTCCCTTAGGAAATTTTCCCTGTCTTCCGCAGAGTGAGATAAATAAAGACTTTGGTGTCAGTTTGTCTCTCTCTCTGTGAGTGACAGGGTTAGACTGCTACCTTCATTTCTTAAAAACAGACTACTTTTCTTTTTTTGGTATTAAGATATCTCTCTTTTACAAAATGATGGTAGTATGCATAGAGATTGTATATAGTAGTGAGTTATTTTTCTTCTTAAAAGATTCTGACTTGGCAAAATAATTTAAAAAACTGGCATACCTATCTTAGCCTCATTTTCTAAAAAATATCATTTGTCTGAAAGAATTAAATATCTGAAAACCATAGGCCCAAAGGACGGCATAAGTTCTCTGCTATCTATAAGATTCTACATTTTTAAAATCTTGAGATTACAGAAAATCAAAAGGGGTAGGAAGGCAGAATGATTTTTTATTTAACCTGTAAAAGTAACGTTAATGAAGTCTAACCATCTTAGACATAAAAGATAATAAGTGGAGATGCTATAAGTTAGAATTTTGTAGTTTCTAAGTGGAAATGACAGTCTAAATGTCAAATTCAAAAACATGGCCTAAAAAACGCCACACCAAAGGTCATAGAAGGCAACATTCAGCTCTGGAGACAGTTACAAGTCAGATATTTCATGATTCCACTGGTATGCAGCCATCATGAAAGTGGAACTAAAATCATTTTGAAGCCAAAAATGTGTCAAAAGAGAACTCTAAACAGGCCCAAAGAGCTGTTTAAATGAAAAAAATAAAAGCTTTAGCTCCTTTAAGTAGATGAAAATCAATAATTAATCCAAATACAAATTAATATGCAACTACTATTTTCTGTTTTGAAAACAATACTGCCATTTACAAGGAATTAGTTTAACATACCTAAAGCCTCTGCCAGGCCCCAAACTTTCTGTCCATAGATGTCGGTCTTATTCCAGGCAAATGTGTAGACGAGATTAATTGCAGCAGGAAACCACTTTTGTGTGAGTCGCCCTTCCACAGCTACTGTAAGGTGTACTTTTACCATCCCCATGGGAATTGTTGAATGCGTCAGAAGGATCCTTAACAAGGTTTGATACCCGGGGGTGCGGCTGCTCAGGTAACTTAGCCTCACAAAGCTAGAAGGAATGGGGATTTCCTCCTGCACAACCTAGAAAAAAAAGACAAATTAACTCTTATCAGTGGTCACAGGTAGATGAGAATATTGCATGCTTTATGGTCTTAGAAACATGCCAAAGGAAAAAGCCTAAAGGGATCTAAGGATAACAAAGCATTTGTTCCATAATCTTTGTGAAACTGTGTGACCATAGATTTGCACCAAATCTGCATGGGGACAAGACATCCACCCAACCCTAAAGATTGCTTTCATTTTTCCCCTGCCAGGAAAGATTGCATAAAAAACAATTTCAGTTCTTCAACAGTGTTCCAAAAATTGCTTTGTAGGAGTTGGAAAAGATCACACTGCTGAATGTCAAGCAATTCAGCGCTATGGCTTCCATTAAGGGGTCTTTTTCTTATATATACATACACACAAACTTGTTTGGCATTGTCATATATCACAAATCCATTGCTGTAATCCTTATTCAGGGTAGGCTTGCTAAGAGGAAGGACTCCAGAAACAGGCCCAGCAAGTGATATTTTATGACAAAGGTTATGGTTTTCCTAGAATTAATCTTTACCACCAAGTTGTTTTCTTTCATGCTTGGAATGATCCTGAGGCCAAATTTTTAATCAAAATTTTCTTACATATTTCTCTGTGTCTGGATGTGTCAATGGTTGGGAATAAGTTTCTCCAGGTTGGCTCCTGTGACTTAGAAGCAAACAACTCCCATGAATTCCTCTGCAATTTTCATACTAAATGCTGGTCTTAGAGTGAAAATATCACTTGGTTTCTTTAGTTAATTTCTGTTTCTTATTTGCTTATTACCACAAATAAAGTTAAATAACCAAAGGTGGCAACTAAAATTGAATTTTGTGTTCCATAACTCTCATCTTTCAAAACACATCAGAAGAATAAGCCCATCCTATTCAACACATTTAAGGTGATAAAAATAGTGCAGATATTTTCATGCTCCCATTTCTTTTTACCTCAGAATCTTGTCCCCTCTTACTTTTCCAAACTTTTGCACAGAGAAGAACTGATTGTTAGACACATGGTATCTCATATTGTCCGATATTTTTGGGCATTGTCCTGTTTCTGAGGACACAATTTCTCTTGTGTACATTTTGCCCAGTTTTTCTTCTACATTAGCCAATTGACACAGAGCTGTCCACCAGCTGTCTTCTCAGATGGCAGCAGAAGTACAATAGAGAAGGATAGCATGACACTTACCAACTTAGTATTTATTTTCCTGAGGAACATGCAACCCCAGATAAGTTTTGTGTTGACAAAACTTTTGTGCTGACAGAAGACTGATACTTCCTAATGACATCTGTGAAGGGATTGGTGTATCAATCAAATGTACTCATTAAATGGTGTTTCATTTTTTTCTTTTTTCTTTTTTAGAAGAAGCAATGGAAAATACAAGAGGGGTAACTCTTTGGATTGCTTTTTCTGTAGAGTACTATTTTTGTGTGAGCCTTTCCTAAGCAGTTTTCTTTGGGCTCTGTTAATAGTTTGTGGGGCATGCTATGATGGAAGTACAACCAATTCAGTCTTGAAGTGCCCATTTACCTCTTCTTGAAAATACTTCTTGATTTCTAGATCTGTAAGACTTATGAGTCCCTTTTGGTGGCTTCCACATTTAACTATGGTGAGGGAATTGTACTATGGCTGCTTGAATTACTTAATATTGAAATGACAATATTGAATGCTCAACAAATAAGAATTCTCAGGAATGCTAAAATATCAAGGTTTAAAAATGTCTTCTCCTGACTATAAAACTTGACAACTCAGAAGCAAAGGTTTAAAAACTCCACAGCTTTGAAAGCTACCTTTACTAAACACAGATAGACAAGAGAAGCTGTCATTTTTTGGGGAGGGAGTGGGGTGAGTTTCCTTTTTAAAAAATTTTTCATCTTAAATATGTGAGGTACAATTCAGGGTTAGGTATACAAATCTTCATTATGCAAGAACCCTTGTTGATGAGGTATGCTCCCCCTCCCCTGGCAGTTTCCCACTACTTCCAATCACTTTCTTATAATATTATGATAGCTGTTCAAAGTCTGCTTATGAGTGAAAACATGTGATACTCAGTTCTTTGTTTCTGTGATAGATCACTCAGTATTACAGCCTCTAACTTCATCTAAGTTGCTGCGAATTTCATAATTTTGTCCTTCTTTATGGCTGGACAACATTCCATCATATATATATATATACCACATTTAAAAAATCCAGTCCTTTTTGATGGGCAGCATGGTTGGTTCCATGTTTTTGCTATTGTGAATAATGCTGCAATAAACATGTGTGCGCAGGTATCTTTTTCATAGAGTGACTTGAGTTCCTCTGGATATATTCCCAGTAAAGGGATTGCAGGGTTGTATGGGGGGAGGGTCGATTTTTAGATCTTTTAGAAATTGCCACACTGTTTTCCACAGAGACTGGACTAGTTTACATTCCCACCAATGTCATGGCTTTTAAGAACAATGACAATGAATGCAAACTTGACAATGGAAGCAAACTAGATTTCGTAAGGAGCTTTAATTTCAGAACCACTAACAGTGTAAGCTCATTGATTATACTGTTATCACTATTAAGCCAGCTAGCTTTGTTCTTTAGAACACAGTGTTCATTAGGTCAAGCATTGGGGTTTAATTCTCATGACGGCTAGTTCATATTGCTCTGTTCCGTGGCTATAGAGAGTACCTCAATGTACTGGTTGATCATCTTGTAAAGTGTCCCAGAAAAATGACATTTGAAGGCTTCTCTTGACAAATAAAGGGTAGCACATTATAGGGCTGGCAAGAACAAGAAAAGGAATTTAACCATTATACACTGTTGACCACACCTTGATATTATGATTTGATACATTCAAAGACTAATATACCCACCTGCAGCTCAGGAACAATAGTCCCTCTCTCTGGACAGGATCCTCCAAAAGATGTGAGTGGTGAAGGAAGCACAATAGGGTTTGGGCTGATAAAGTTGGAGATATCGCAGGATGGTGGGTCTGATACAATTCTTTGCATGATTACTTTCTCCACCACAATAAACTGATTCCAAGGCAACCAGAGTGTCCTCTTCTCAGGCAGGAAAGGTGATCGGTCAAAGATTAGGATGACAGAGATACCACCCATGGCTACGAGGTCAAAGCTGAGGAAAAAAATTAAATATGTATATAATATAAATGCACATAATATGAGAGTTTCAACCAAATGAACAATGAGAAAGTACACTTAAAATCAGTTAATTTTGGTGCCTTTTCCATTTTTGAGGACTCAACTACATCTATTTGTATTCTCTATGTTATAAATTCCTTCTAGCTAAATAGTCATTACATGGATGATTTCTTTTCGGTATCCAGTAGACTTTTTAAAAGAAATTCCACACCACCAGTTGATACCCAGTTGGAATTTGTAAATTAATTTTAATACTATTTTAAACAAAATCACTTGCATGCATTTCTAGAAAGCCACATCTGACATTGTTGCTCCCTCTTGTGCTAAAGATAAGAGAAAGATGACCATTTAATATTCAGCAGAATCTTTGAAGATGATGTATTATTCATCCTTAAAGCATGTCTATAATGTAACATAAGAAAAGTAAGAATCCAAAAGGTTAAATATCTTGTTCAGAGTCACAAACAGTGTCAGAAACCAGACAGTGTCATTGAGATGGCACTTGGAGAAAGATATCAGCAGAGGAAAATTGCCATGCCTGAACCCTCTGCATCTGATTACCATCTTTGTCTCACTATTTTTTTTTTGTTTTTGAGTTGGAGTCTCAGTCGCCCAGACTGGAGTGCAGTGGCTGCTCCCGGCCACCGCAGCCTTGCCTGCTGGGCTCCGGCGATCCTTCCGCCTCAGCCTTCCGAGTAGCCGGAATTACAGGCACGCGCTACAATGCCCTGCTGATTTTTTTTTTTTTTTATTGTAGAGATGAGGTCTCGCTGCCCAGGCGGGTCTCGAACTCGCGGGCTCAGGCAATCCACTCACCTCAGCCTCCCAAAGGTGTGGGATTACAGGCTGAGCCAACGAGCCTGGCTTGTCTCACTATTTTACTTGAACCTCAAATGTAGGATTTCTGGTTTGATCCAGAATGACTCTTGGTTCCCTTTTGTAAGACAGCCTGTAATAGATCCTGTCCATCTCCACCAACAACCTCTTATATATCTTGACGACACAGAACTATCTCTTATGTAAGCTAACTCCGTCCATCTCTAAAAGTGGTCTATGACAAAGTTATTGCTTTGGAGCTGAACAGATTCAGATTTTGGTTCATTCTTCACTAAATGTGTCTACTTTATTTTTAAAAAGTATAATGATGTCTTTGAGATGATGTACTTGAGAGCATTCAAAAAGCACAAACTCCTATATAAAAAAGTAAGGTAATGATAAAGTATTGTCATTATATCTTACAAATGAATAAAGGGCAATATACACCTTCATATTCAAAGCAACTTAAATCCACAGGAGAGAGATGTAAGCAATTCCTTGCATTAAAAAAATTTTTCAGTAAAACACTTTTTCAATGATAAAAAGCCTTGATAGGGAATCAGACTTAATTATGGACATCTTACCAGTCTCTCCATATGGCATTTATTATATTTATTAGAGTACTACCAATCATGTCCTGTTGTAGAAATCTTCCAGATAAAGATAAATGAACAGTAACAAAGGATAGATAATACTGTATTTTTTGTTGTTGCTTTTTCAGTGAAGTAGCTGTAATATTAAGGCAGTTTCCAAAAAGAGGATTTGAAGAACTGCATTAGCTATAGAAAATAATTTAGGTTTGAACTAAAAAAGGAAAACCCAAATGGCTTATAGTTCAAGACAGAGAGATTGAATTCATGATCGTATAGGAGCAGTTTAAGGCAAGTGTAGTGGGGAAAATTTGACACCACTTTTCAAGAAATCTTTCCTTTAGTTCACCTTCTGTGTTGATTTAAGTCTGTGTTCTTGGCTACGTTTATTTGCTTCACCCAAACCTTGACTCTTGACTCTTTAAGATTGAAGAGTTTGTTTATTAAAAACAAACAAACACAAAAAACAAACTATTCAAACAAGAACATATGTACCTGGGAATTATTCTGTACTTCCAGAAAGATTAAGCAGACAGGATAGGCATCTTGTTTTGTAGAAAGGATGTGGATTTGTTTTCATACATATTTGGGTTCAAATCCCATATCAGTTATGTTAATTTTGTGTCTTTGGGTTAGTTATTTTACTTCCATGAACTGAAGTTTTCTCATTAGTAAAGTGGGGCCACTATGATCTACTGCTTACCTACTGTTTTAAATGAGTAAATGTGATAGACTTAAAGGTCAAACATATAGTAGGGACTCAACAAATGTTAACGTTCTTCTCAAATCAGATCCATTTCCCTACTAAACGTATCATACATTTTCTCTTCTTGTAGTTCAAATGAACTACAGGTCAGCTTTTGATTATCTCCATGAACAGATATTAATTTTGAAGCTCTCCTTGGAATTTCCCCTAGGCTTCTTATGATGGTTAGTTTTATGTCTCAAGTTGGCTAGGTTATAGTTCAAACATCAATCTAGGTGTTCCTGTAGAGGTATCTTGTAGATGTGGTTAATATTTACAATCAGTTGAATTTAAGTGAAGGAGATGGTCCTTGATAATGTGAGCGGGCCTTATCTAATCAGTTGAAGGCCTTAAGTGCAAAACTGAAGTTTCTGTAGGAAGAAGAAATTCTGCCTCAAGATTACTGCATCAACTTCTTTTCTGAGTTTCCAGTCTGCCAGCCTGCCCTAAAGGTTTTAGACTTGCCAGTCCCCAAAACCTTGTAAGCCAATTTTTTTGAAATAAATCTCTCTCTCTATCTATCTATATCACTGTAGTGCCAAAAAGATGTATACACATTTTAAGAGATGTTATCTGTGTATTATTTTTAGTTTGCCATAATCAGAAGTGTCTAGATGCTGCTGGTAATCGCTTTGAGCACTTCTTGCAATTGCAGAAGTCAAACGTGACTTGTATTCATCTTTATCAGTATATATTGAGTATTACAATTTTGGTAGTTTTTTTCCCCTTTCTTAAAGTGTGTACACATTTTTTGCCCCTTCTGTGTACATTTTGTTTCCCTGGAAAACACTAACTCATACACGTCTCCTCTTTCCCCCAGCAGTTACACACAGTAAACACTGTCTGGCTGTTTCATTAATTGACATGGAGGTAGAAGGTGGATCTGTGGCCAAAAATCCATCTAAACCATTCCAAAACCAAATAAAATGCTCTCTGAATGATTAGTTCTTTGGAATTTCTCCTACCACAAATCACCTCCATTTGCATGGGTCATTAAGAACAGGTTATAAAGTCATATAACAATAGGTATAAAAGAGCCAAAGAGGAGAATTTATTTGTTTGCCAATCCATAATAGGTTAAGCCGGTCCTGTCCATAGATGGAAGAATATTGGAGATAACGCAGAATGCTTATCTCTGCCTTATAATATCCATAAATGAACAAACTTTTGCCATGAGGAGAATGAGAGGGAACCCTGTCTTTATCTTCCAGTCTTCAGGACAAAGATCTTGGGACTTTTAATGATTCTCAAAAACCTTCTAAGAATGTCATCATTTCATCTATTTTTCTTATCATTAGCTGAATTATTTATAAATAGTTCTCTTTCAACATCTTACTGAGTACTGGTCATGTATTCCAGGTGAAGGTGGTGAATTGTAGAGGATAAATGCCAGATTAACTGGGTTTAAATCTTGGGCTCTATCTTTATTAACTGTGTTAATCTGGATAAGTTTTCTTACCTGACAAATGGGGAGCATGATAATAATATACATCATAAGGTTGTTGTGAGGATGAAAACAGAATGACATTAATGAAAGTGTCTGGCATATAGTAGACACTCATCAGTATCCACTTTTCCTTTACAATTGCCTCTTTCATTTCTGCTATGCTGGCTCCTCTCCATCTGAATATCTAATCTCTCCATACTTTTAAAGGGTTCCACCACCATCTGTCCTTCTGCTTGTATACCTTTCTTTGATGTCATGACCTAGACTTTTCCTAGTTCTCTAGGGAAAGTTGTCAGTTGACTCTTACAAGAGGTTGATAATGAAGGTAAATGGTTCTACATTCCACATGACATATTTGCATTTAACATGGATTCTGAGAGAGCCAATAGTTTCACCCAAAGCAGTGATACCATTGGTGAGAATTACAAGCACTGCAACAGACTGGTGGGATTGAGATTGGGACATAGAAGATTCTTCTTAGCATCTCTCATATTACATCTGTGTAACAGGTTATTTAAATATAATCTCAGCATTTTTATAACCTTTTGCCTTCAGGTATATTTTTCTTATAATTTTTCACTTTTGAAATATACTTAATCTGAGGTAGCAACAAACAGAAACATATAAATGAGAACTCTCATCACATTGTCACTTTATGTTCAAGAAATGACAGTGGGACAGTCTGGTTGGCACTTGGGACCCATATTCTAAATGCTTACACCTTTTAGGAGCCTGAGGGGAGAGTTATTGCCAGAGGGGATTCTGGCTAGTATCTGTCATATACATAAATCTAGTTCTCACAGTGAGCTCAGCAGAGGAGGGTCTTGGCATTTAACTTAAAGCTAAAAACACAAAAATAACATTTACCTTCTTTAATGTTCTCTGTAAGCTGGAAGAAGAAATTTTTAGACTCTTTAGACATCAAAATTATTTTAGGTTCTTTTGTGAATATCAAATAATTCACTGAAATCTTTGTATGCAAGCTAAAAAAAATGAGGGCCTATCAGTTCTCCATGAGAAGTCATGAGAATCAAATGTCTCAGAGGGCAAATTATATTTAAAGAAATAACCATTTTTCAATCATAACACGGTTGAAGATGCTTGTAAAGGAGAAGCTAATTTGGTGTACTGGTTACTGTGGTGAATGTACTACCAAAAATCCCATTATTTAATCTAATTTGGAGAAAGATAAATTGAGATAATAAAGAACTCCAATTATGGAATATTTTAAAGGAAATGTAGTCTCATATATACATAGATATATTACATATCTAATAGATACATATTTAATAGATGTTTTATATATATATATATATATATATATATATATATAAAGCACTTGCTAACCAAAGTAGTTCTGCTCAGCTTGTTATAATGAATAGATGGCTAGTTAGTAATTAGCAATATAATTTACATATAAATAATTTACACAGTTTACTAAAGTCCTTATAAACAGTTTATTTTTTTAAGTAGGTTAAAACTCTTCCTATTATCTTTTTAAGCTAATTTTTTAAAGCGCTTTCTTGACAGGTAGTTGAAAAAAATAAATCCAACACAGCTCAAGTTGCATAATTAACATTTCTGAAGTGGTTAGGACTAATAAGGCTTGATTGTAGGTTCTTGAAATGAGATAGTCTCTCACACTGTGATAAAGCTCCAAGAAAACAGGTCTTTTTGTGAATACTGAGCAGCTTGTTATGAATAGAACTTTTTAAGGGTAGCCACCTGGAGACTAGGGCACCTCAAAACCATTATTACAGTGCTCCTGAGAGTCATAAATAGGTACCTCTAAGCTGGACACACTGGCCTATTAACTCAAATATTTTGAACCAATGTCTATCTAAATGACAGCAACAAAAACATGTGTGCGAACAAATCCTTTTTCAAGATGGAAAGGTTCTACTTAGAGCTCTTGCTTCCCAGGTCTCAGAGAACCTTGAGAAGCCCTTAGTGAGTAGCCTGGAGGTTGATGCTTCAGATTAAACACTGTAGTTAAGTAGGCTGGCCATGGTTGTTCATAAGTTGCAGCCACTAGTCAAATAGGCAGTCTGGGGAGGACACATTAAAAAAAACCAACTCTTAATTAATGTGATTAAATTCTGTACTTTTGGAAGAAATCTTTTGAACATGCTCATTTATGAAATATTTTGGGGTTGTAAGAAAATTGTCTTAAGTTTTCCATGGCTCCTTATTTATTACTTTCATCATTTCATTGAACTTTGAAGTTGGATTTATAAATGGAATTAGATGAAGAATAGAAAACTTTCCACATAGCCAGCATTTCAAGGAGATTTGAGAATAATAGTGAAGGAGTAGAAGAAAAATTTGGCTTGAATTAGATGGGGAATAGAGGAAATAAATATCACTAATGGCTTTTCAAGATAAAGCTGGAAGAAAGATGGGATTATCATCATGGTATGATCTGAGCCCTGGTTTTATCCATGGCTAGAAGTCAGCATTTGGTTCCCACAGTGACCAAAAGCAACAATGACGTACCTTCCATCTTGCCGGCTGATGGTAAACCCATAATCACTGTGGTGCAAGAAACTTACATTCACTCCCACTAGAGGGGTTCCATCTACGGCTACCACTTGGCCTCGAATCACACAGGCACGCCTACAACACAGAACCAAGAGCAAATAAAAAAGCATGTTGAAACTAGATTCTAGAAGCCTAATTGTAGAAACATTGAAAATACAGTCAAGTATAACAAAGGAAACAATTTCACCAACCACTAGAAACTACTAATGGCATTTTGGGAAGGTATATACATCTTTTTTACTCATCAAAATTAGAATTATGCTAGGTATAGTGCTGACTCCAGATATTTTTAAGTTAACAGTATATTTACTTAGTCTAATGTAATTAGAAAGTCCTCAATATATCATTTTATTATTACATAATATATGCTTACAATAGCATTCTATAACTTGTTTAACTCATCCCCTATTGCAGGACACTTCATGGTTTCTTAATTTTTTTCAGTCTTGAATTTTTTTAGTATTTTCTTGGAAGAGAGTTCTAGTTGTGAAAGGATATTTTTCTATTGAAATTAAAATTAACTGTATTAGCTAAAGCATAAATGCATTGTAGATATGACTAAAGTCCCTGCTGACCACCTTTCTTCCACTTTCTGGTTTTCACATCAGAGATAATCAGCAGTATCAATTTGTTGTGTGCATTTTATCTGCATTTACATACATAGGTATGAACATTTTTAAGGTTCTTGATGCACACTGCTGAACTCCTTTTTCTGGAAAAACAACCAACCAACCAACCAACCAATCAAACAAACAAACAAATAGACTTAGTTTGGTGAACTTTAAATGAAAATCTGCAAAAGAGACGCGATCCCTGACTGTGGTATCTTATTTTCCTTTTCTTTTTTTTTTTAATTTAACTTTTTTTTTTTGAATTGGAGTCTTACTCTGTCACCCAGAATGGAGTGCAGTGGCACGCTCACGACCCCCGCAGCCTTGACCTGCTGGGTTCAGGTGATCCTTCCACCTCAGTCTTCCAAGTAGCTGGAACTGCAGGTGTGCACCACCATGCCTGACTTATTTTTCTAGATTTATTACAGAAATGAGGTCTCACCAGGTTGCCGAGGCTGGTTGCGAATCCCTGGGCTCAGGCAATTCTCTTGTCTTGGCCTTCCAAAGTGCTGGGATTATAGGCGTGAGCCACCACGCCTGGCTGGTATCTTATTTTTCATGTTTAATTTTAAGAAAGTATTTCAGGACATTTTCCTCTTAAACAAATAATTGTCATCCTCGTTACAGAATGGGATTCTATTAAACTAACCCCTAAATAGATATAGTTCACTAAAATGTCTATAACTTTCAGCTCTACCCTGGATGACAAGTTTGACAAATTCTAGGAACGGGCGGTTAAGAAGAGGGCCCTGAGCCAAATCCCAAGCAAAGATTTTTCACTGGTCTGCTGTTATTGGGTGGCGGAGGTGGGGAGTGCAGTTTTTCCCCAGAGTTTAATCTTTGTCTTGGCAGCTCTGAGCTTTTAGACATGTGTTTTTGTTGTTGTTATTGGAATCTTACTCTGTTGCTCAGGCTGGAGTGCAGTGGCACACTCACAGCTACTGTAGCCTCAGCCTGCTGGGTTTAGGCAATCCTTCACCTCAGCCTTCCAAGTAGCTGGAACTACAGGCGTGTGCCACCACGCCAGGTTAATTTTTTTGATTTACTGTAGAGATGAGGTCTTGTCAAGTTGCCCAGGCTGGTCCTGAACCCCTGGGCTCAGGCAATGTTCTCACCTCCGCCTTTCAAACTGCTGGGGGAACAGGCATGAGCCACCGCGCTCAGCCCTGGATATGAGTTTTATAGGTGGGGCTAGCAGGATTGTGGAAGGTTAAGCAAGGTCAGTGATTTTTCCTAGGGCATAGATGTCTTTTTTTTTCCAAGTGAGATTCTGGATACTCAGGGCAGTTCAGTCTTGGATTAAAAGGGGGCATGTTATTCAGGCAAACATGGCTTTCTAGAATAATCCTAACAATTCCACCCTGGAATTATAAATTCTTTTAACAGAATGAATAAGTCAAGGGAAGTATCTAAAGGCTTATGACCACAAAAATCATTTGAGGAAAAGAGAAAAATAAAACACAAAACAGCCCTTCCGAATAAGTTAAAGATAGTTGCCAAAGTTTGTTTTATACATTTTATCCAATGAACCTCAGTACTGAATTCTATTACAATAGAATAATTGGTTACAAGTTATGCTAATAGGATTAATTTTGTACTAGGTAAGGTCTTCCCTAACACAAATTACAAGCCATTAAGTACTACTCAATGGTAAGCTAGTATAATTGTTGCTATTAGTGTTTGTGTACAATATTCTGAACTCTCAGAGAAACGTTCCTAGATCTATGAAATAGAACAATGCCTTTCTTCTTTCCAATGAGCTGCCCATTTTATGAATTATGTAAATCATGCTTCTGAGTGGCATGCAAATGACATATTGACACTTGTTTTAGCATGTCTGATTCTCCCAGTTTCGGTATCATTTTGAAATCCCATTTGCTCTAATAGAGAAGACATTTAAAGTCACTGAATTCTGGATTTTGAACTAATCTTGATATATCTGGTTCAGGGTTCTAAGTCCAATGAAACAACAAATGAAAATAGAAGGACATCTCTGGTTTTAAACAGTAACCTTTTAGAGGTCTTTACAAAGTAATATTTGAAAAGGTAAGTATAGATGAAGCAGAAACAAGCTGAGAAAATCTGCAAACTACATGGTAGCTCTGAGCTCTTAGACATGCCAAACCATTTAAAAATCAGTTAAACTAATTTTTGTTTTCTGAGGTTTAAATGCTATTGGCTCTTTGGGGAGTGTGATGGGGTTAGTTATTAACTTCATAAGCCTTCAGCAGTTAACAAGGTGGTCTTCACAACAATAACGCCTACCTAGGTGCTTGTTAATTCCCTATAGGTAACAAGTCTACACTCACTCATTTTATTTGCTCACACTAATCTAAACATTGTGTCTCTTCACAGCTGTACTAGGCTCAATTATTTTTGTTTTTATTTTGTCATGGTATTATTTTCTCATATTTTATGACACACAGAACTGTCTCTTCTTTTTGCTGCTTTTTATTTTCTATACAGTTTATATTTATGAAGGATCCAGGCTGGTGAGTGAAAGTCTCATAAAAGTCATTATTATTCTGTGCAATTCCCTTGTATTCCTCTCTTCCTTCATTCTGTATCTCATTCTGAGTAGACTTGTCTTTTGACTCTTCTGCTTCTTAATATTCCTCATATTTTATGAAGCACAAAGATTTGTGTGATAACGAGTCATCAAAGTCATCATTATTCAAGACATTGTCTACCTGTTCTTCTTCTCATTCATTTCACTCTTCATCATTCATAAATAATGCGCACAGACTTGTCCTTCAACTTCCCTACTTTTTTATTCCTCATACTTTATGATTCACACAAACTTACAGCATATGATAAAGCCCCATAAAACTTATTATTCTACATTTATCAATATTGAACTCTCTTTGTAATGTATTAGACATTAAATGTTCTAGATTGCCTATATCTTGCTGTTTTTGCTCTCATTATTTACACACTCCATGTCATCCATTTTTCACAAGAATAAATCTCAGCTCTTATTATTCCTGGATTACTAGTACTTACTGTAATCTTTGACCAATATCAGTCATCCAGTGTCAGTATAAATTGTCTAAATTTTGGGATGGTGTTAAAGTGTTCTTTTTAATTTGCAGTAAGCTTGATGACACTGCATGCAGAAACCTAGGAAAAAATCTACTTCTCAGGCAAACTCTCCATTTCAAAAAGAAAGCTCTCAAGCGTTCTCACTTCCCCGGGCTACATCAGCTCCAAATGGCCATTAGGGAGCCTTCATATATATTCTTGGCAAGTATGGTGTACTATGCCAGTTTGCTCAGCTCAGTTGCCATTTTGTGCATGCCCAGCTTCTAAACTCAGTTTTCTTCTTAATTGTGGATGGTAGTCTTGTATCTGCATTTGTTTTTTATTCACACAGCCTCTAAAATATAGTTTCTGCTGGGTTCGGTGGCTCAGCCTGTAATCCCGCACTTTGGGAGGCTGAGGTGAGTGGATTGCCTGAGCCCACGGGTTCGAGACCCACCTGGGCAACTTGGCGAGACCTCATTTCTACAATAAATAAAAAAATCAGCCGGGCGTGGTAGTATATGCCTGTAATTCCGGCTACTCGGAAGACTGAGGCGGAAGGATACCTGGAGCCCAGCAGGTCAAGGCTGCAGTGGCCGGGAGCGGCCTCTGCACTCCAGTCTGGGTGACAGAGTGAGACTCCCACTCAAATAAATAAATAAATAAATAAATAAATAAAATTAAAAAAATAAAAATGAAATATAGTTTCTTCCCCATTTTGTAACCTGCTCTGATTATGCTTCTCATATCTAAGACAGTCTGTATGATTAATCTTGTTCTAAGGTTAGATCCTAGCTGAGTATTGAGGGATGCGTGGTGAGGGTCTGTCTTTGATAGTACCTTTATCTCCCACTTTCTGTACTTTTCCTTATTTTCATTGTGGTGCCTCCCTGTTTTCTCTCCCAAATAGGCCCCATTTTCCTCAAATCACCACTGAAATTAGTCAGTTCTACTTGGCCTCCCCTTGGTCCGCTTTGGGGAAGCATCTTGAGCTTTTAAATTTTTGACACTTTAAAACTACCTTCAACCTTCGAGGACCTGTCTTTTTCTGAAATCTTTTCAATTCAATAACATACAGACCTCTTTTGAACCTTTCAAGCAAGGTAATAGAAGCTACAGTATGGAATGCCATAGAGCTGGCCCTGCACATGTGAGTTGCAGGTATGTGCCCAGTGTAACTGTCTTTTGTGTTGTTTAATTTTTAATTTGTTTGTGTGCATGTGTACTCTCAATGGCAGGCACTGTATGCTTTCCATCTTTGCCTCAAGCTCTCCTTTGATTCACAGACATGGATGGGAGGCTTTGCTTTATTGAATCTTTAAAAACAAGAACCTCTCCCTGCTGTTGTTGGTTAGAGCAAGATAACTTGAACTTAGATGGGCATGTCCAATGTGACTTTTAAAACATGCATGGGGAAGATCACCCCCACAAGTGTCTCTTTTC